TGGCCTATTATTTTTAAAATACAATAACAGAAATATGTAAGTCACTTTACAAATTTAAGCTGTACCTATAATTGATTAAATTGTGCCTATTTCCGGTAATAGAATTGTTTTCAGTAAAAAATTAATCAGCATCATGAGAAGTTATCAGCTGCTGGGGTCCTAAGATCCTCTCCCACTGGTCAACATTATGATCATGTCACAGAAAATAATAATAATAATAATAATGATGATGATGATGATGATGATGATGATAATAATAATAATAATAATAATAATAATAATAATAATAATAATGCATAGGTGGTTTTATAAAGCACTTTTAACAACTACTAAAAAATGCTGTTCAAATAAGGAGACAACCAGACAAAAACAAAATATAAATGAAATGTTATATATATAATTTTTTGCTAACCATAACATTTGCATGCATAATGTTAAATTTAGTTTTAAATGGTGATCTACAACTTTTCCTTCTGGTTTTCTGTTTATTGATGAAAAATAAATACTAAAATGAGCACAGTGTGACTATCACAGGCTAAACAACATGAAAGTGCCTCCTCTGAAAGTGGACTTGTACATTTTCTTTTGTTTTTAATACGATTTAGCTGAAGAGCGTCTAATTTTGAATTTCAAAATGTAAAGCTGAGGCTCGTCTCTGATTGGATAAGACGTGAGGGCGGGAGGAGTACGTGCTTCACGTTCACGGTGCGACTGACGTCAATAACGAGCGAACGAGATAGACGCGGGCAAATGAGCTGCGCAAGAGCAAGCAAGCTGGTGTGAGATAGCACGTCGTTGAGAGGAAGAGCGGAGCTGAAATCTTGAGACTTTTGTCATTTTGAAGGTGTGGAGGACAAATATACGATTCAAGTGTGGGGTCTTCAGCTGTACAAAAGGCAAATTACAAGTTCGCATGGTAAGCTTCACTTTTATGTTTCTTTTTAGACCTAACAGTGCTGTGAGCACATGTTTTAAGCTAGTAACAGGTTAAGCTAGTCACGTTTTTTAACGTCTGTAAGTCATTGTGTGAAAACTTAGTTCGGCTGAAAATCACACGCATGTGCTTGGTGTTCTAAAAATGATTACCTGTGTCTTTTGTAAAAAGAAACTTGAGACATTAAGAGGCTATGTTCTACATTGCAGAGTACATAGGAATGAGCCTCGTGGTCTTTTCAAGTGTATTGGCGCCAACTGTAATCAAACATTTACCACTTACTCAGCTTTCAGGGGTCATTTTTATCGTGTGCACAATGAACCCACACTGCATGCTACTTCCATTGTTGGAGATTTAAAATGCGCACTTGCATTATGCAACTGTAATTTCCACACTGTGAAAGAGCTAGTGTCTCACTTAAATGATCATATTGGAGAGGGTAGACCTGTGTCATGCCCAGTTCGTGGTTGTAAGCATATCTTTACAAAGAAGTCATCATTTACTTCTCACATGTGCAGGAAGCACAAAGCCAGCTCCCCTGATAGTATTGATGACATGTACAGAGAAACTTGTTCTAGGTCTCAAAGTGTGATTGCCAATACAGATGACCAAACCATGGCAACATCAAGTGCAACAAGTGAGATTCTTGAAAATATGATTACCAGTACAGCTGATTTAGAAAACACTCACAAAGCCATGGGAACACCAACTTCAACAAGTGAGATGTTAGAAAATGATAGTGAGTCTTATCTCCGAAACCTGTGTCTATTTTACCTTAAACTGCAAGGACAGCTGCTTATTCCTGCCTCTACCATACAAACTATTGTTGAGGAAATGCTGAATATTCACGAATTAGGTCAAACCTACACAATAACTAAGCTAAGTTCTTTGTTAAAAAAAGATATGAGCCTATCAGATGAAATGATCAATCAAATCTGTGAATGTGTTAAAGACTCAGATTTATTCTCTGCCTTTCACCAGGGACAGTTAAGAACAACATACAGCAGAAACCAGACCTTTACAAAAATGTTTAAATACATAGAACCACTAAAGGTTCCATTAGGAATGGATGAAAACCTGACACAAAAATATGCTTACTATATACCAGTATCAAAAACTCTGGAAAGCTTTTTACAGTCATGTTTATGGAGAAATACACAGTCACAAGAGTTTAGAGATGCTGATGCAGACGTTTTTACTGATTTATATGATGGCAAAACATTCAAATGTCACCCGTTTTTTAATGAAAACCCTGAAAGCCTCAAGTTGATTTTGTACCAGGACTCATTTGAAATTGTGAACCCCCTGGGTTCTGCAAAGAAGAAGCACAAAGTTCTTGCTGTCTATCTTTCAGTGGCAAATTTACCCATACATATGCGTTCAAATACTGATAATATGTTTTTAGTATTGTTGTGCGTTGAAAAAGACCTTAAACTTTTTGGAATGGGCAAAGTATTCTCAGAGTTGCTGGCAGATCTGAAATCCTTGGAGACAGATGGAGTAAGTGTAGATGGTGAAAAAGTAAAAGGGGGTCTGTACTGCATTGCAGGGGATAACTTGGGTTCTCATTGGATTGGTGGGTTTACAGAGAACTTCAGCCGCTCTCAATATTTTTGCAGGTACTGCGAAATCACAAGACGGGAGTTTGAGACTGATCCAAATGCCTGTGGTCCTCCACGCACCCCAGAGACATATGACGCTGCTGTTGCTGAACTTCAGGTTGAAAACATCCAAGAGGTTCGAGGTATAAAGGTAAACTCTGTCTTTAATACCCTTCAGTCTTTTCACGTATGTGAGCCTGGTCTGCCACCTTGTCTAGGTCATGACCTCTTTGAGGGAGTTGTGTCACAGGATCTAGCACTGTACCTGAAGAACATTGTGAAAAAGAAAAAATGGTTCACATACACACTCTTAAACAGGCGCATCAAACAGTTCAAATATAAAGGATCTGAAGCACTCACAAAGCCATGTGCTGTCAGCACTGATGGAGCCCGGTTGTCAGGGCAGGCCATTCAGAACTGGAATCTTTTGAGATTGTTACCAGTTTTGATTGGTGACAAAATTCAAAATCCTGAGGATGAAGTATGGCAGTTAGCTCTTCAGTTAAAAGACATTGTGGATCTTATTTGTGCTCAGAACATTTCTGTGTCCCAGATAGCATACCTTGACATTTTGATCCAAGAATACTTAGAGTTGAGGAAGATGTTGTTTCCTGAAACTCTACTTAAACCTAAGCACCATTTTTTGCGCCATTATCCAGCACTGCTATTAAAATTTGGTCCATTGATAAGGTTGTGGACGCTTAGATTCGAAAGTAAACACAGTTATTTTAAAAGGTGTGCCAGACACTTGAAAAACTTCAAAAACATTTGTCAGACATTGTCAGAGCGTCATCAGATGTATCATGCGTATCTTTTAGCTGGGCAAGAATACAGTCACCTGCAAGTGAAGGACAGCTGTGAGTTTTATCCCAACCTCTACAGTGATGCTATTAAACATGCAGTCAGGGAGTTTGCATTTTCAGAAAGCAATACCACAGTGGCCACACACATTCAGTACAAGGGCACAGCATATAAAAAAGGCCAGTTTCTTGTGAGCAGAAATGATGAGTACTTGGAGTTTGGTGAACTTCTACTCATCTTGATTCAACATGGTACAGCTGTGCATGTTATAATGGATATCCACAAAAGCACCTTCCTCTCAGAATATCATCTATATTCTGTGACAAAACACAGTCTTGGGTTAAAGTGTGTTAACATTAACAACCTGCCAGATTTCTATCCTTTGGTGTCATACATTCTTGATGGATACCAGGTCATTCCACTGAAACACAGTATTGGGGCAAAATAAAGTCAACTAGAAGTAGTAAACTGTAACTGTCTTAAAACTGTAAATAGTCTTAACATTAACTATTCAAGCTCTACTTGATGCATGTCCCTCCTATACTGTACTGTATATATTTTTTTCTGTTTTTTTCAAAGAAGACACGTATTTTTCAGTGCAAGTATGAGTGACTCGGAGCCCACCTTCCTACATGATGCCATTGTGGAAGTCCTACCAGAACTTCCTGCTGTAACAAAGAACATCCTGGAAGACCATTTACAGTCCATTGGGGTTGAGACATATGATGATCTATGCTTCATAGAGGAGGCTGATTTGATGACAACATTGAGACCTGTTCAAGCCAGAAAACTTCTTTCTGCTTGGAAAAGAAAATGTAAGTAAAAATGCCAAACAAGCTTTTTCTACATGCATAAATAATCAGTTCAAAAGCACAACAGACCATTAAATTGTGTAATTGTGTGTGTGTGTGTGCGTGCGTGCGTGCGCGCGTGCGTAGACAAGACTCCTGAGAGCAGCTCACCATCTGTGGAAGCCTCACCTGGCCGATCTCCGTCAATACTCTCTGTTTCACCCCGAAGTTCAACATCCTCAGGCAGCCAGGGATTTGGCACACAGTGGGAGGACAGTTTTGAAATTCCATGGAGTAAATTTCCAGAGGAAGTAATGGATTCTTTGGAAAGGGGAAAAAGGCCATCCCCATAACTGAGGAGGCAGATGATTCGGATTGTAGCGACTGAAATGATGGGAAAATGCCCTCATGCAGGTAAAAAGCATTCAACCGAGGTTGCTAAAAAAATGGTGGCAAAATACCCCAAATCTTTGCAGGATGTAATAGAGGGAGATATTGTAGGCAAAGGCTACTACTCCCTTGTCAAACAGTTACAATACAGAATTGAAAACGCAAAGCGTACTTCAACACCTAAAATCAGAAAAAGGAAACATCAAACTGAGTCAGATGACACAGACGAGATCCCATTAGAAGAAAGAGCAGCAATGCAGGACACATATGGATGCATTAAATGGAATCCAAAATTTCTTCCCCGTGGAGAAACTCAACAGAGCCAGCAGCAAAAGTTGGAAAAACTCAAGATGATGTTTCTACAAACTAATGTCAGTCCGGAGGAGATAAAATGTCTCATGAAGTCTACCTTTTACACGCAACGCCAACATGTCAACCAGGGTAAAAGTATCCAATACCTCAGAGAAGAGTGGCCATTTTGGTTTGATGAACTTGGCATGTCAGTGCACTTCAAGGAGCTTACTGGGAATAATCTCAAAGAAATGTTCACACGTAATTTGGATTTAAAGGGACAAAGGCTTCTCAACTACATGACCACTGTTTGTGCCAAGAAGAGTAAGAAGTTTCTTCAGACCTATGCAAGGCTGCAGAGGATGCGGGGACAGCAGAGTGGCTGCTCAGATGATGTAAAAGAGCTGGTCCTGCTTCTGCTCAGCTACTTTGATGAGAAGGAGGAGTCCTTGTTCTTCTATGTAGATAATACAAGTCTGCCAGAAGAGGTCCAACTAGAGCAAATGCCTTTGACACCAACCATCGTTGTCTGTGGTAAGTCTTTCATTTCTAATTATTTAAATAATTTTGTTAATAGAATTTGTGGCGTGACTGTACTGCATGTCAATTTGTCCACAGGACAGTCCTGCTATTCCTCAAGAAGTTTCATGCTGAGTCTGGATCGGACCCTCGTCAACACGAACATCTCCTCCTTCATTTCTGCACTGTGCCTGATGTTTGGGAGCTACTACTGTTTCAACATCCATTACCCTTCTGAGCTGGCTTCAACTCTTGAGTTTCTTCAAAGGTGAGTAAAGCATGGTTGTCCTAAGTCTGAATAGGCTGGTGAAGGTCCTGTTATCTAGTAATCCAAAAGGGTTCAAATGAAGGCAACTGGACTTCTTTGGTTTCTTGAAGACGTTTCTCTTCTCATCCAAGGAGCTTTGTCCATTCTATCTGGAATATGAGAGAATCAAGCTTATAAGCTGTAGCTGTCTGTTGTTATTTAAGGAGTCGAAACTACTCTGGGTTAGGGATGCACCAATCAGGTTTTTTGCTGCCGATCACCGATACCGATATCAAAGAATGCTGATCACCGATACCGATCACGTGGATTGGCCAGAAATTTTCTACAACATTATAATGAGTGCTACAAACTACATAATCTGGGAATAAAGGAAATGTAACCTAATCTAAAATGGTCTGTATTAGGGTTGTCACGGTGTGAAAATTTAACCTCACTGTTATTGTGACCAAAATTACCACCGGTTTTCGTATTATCGTGGTATTTTTTTAAACGTGCTACTTTTTCACACAATTAAATAAACCCTGTATGTCAGGAAATATTGTCCTCAGTTTGTGCCTAAATTTTGCCTAAAATTTATTATTTTGTAATTATGTTGTTTATTTGTTTACATTTTTTCCCTTTAGTCTTTAAAATACCAATATTTGCCCATAACTTATTTTTTGTCTGTTTGATGTCATCATTTTAAAAAAATTAGATCAGATTATACTCACTACTCAAGTAGCCTTGTAATCAGATACTTTTTTACCATTACTTGAGTAATAAACCCTATATCAGGAAAATATTGTCCTCGGTTTGTGTCCTTCCAGTGAGCTTTGCAGATGTGGGAAAATGTCATCAGGCAGTAATCGTTGTTAAATTCATAATTATTTTCGGAGAGAGACCAACTCTTATCTGCCCCCTGGGAGCCCCGTAATGTATAGAGTCATTTCAACATGGCGGTGTCCGCGACACGGTTTATATGCAGGTAGCGGCGCTGCGGCTGCTTTATATAGCAACTCGTTGCGTTCTCCCTCAACCCAAATCCTCGGATCACACATTTTAGCTAAAACGCTAACGTTAGCTTGCCTTGCGTTGACTGTAGAGTTGTGGGTGATGGTCACGCAGATGTGTCATGAGATTTGAAGCGTTGCTGCCTTTCACAGACACTTTTTCTGCACGTGCTACAAACAGGATAGCCGTCTTCTATAAACTCCCTCGGCATTCTTCAGATATCCAAAAGATGCCCGTACTTCCGAGTTTGTCTTCTTTGAGGGATAATAACTGTCCTGAGCGCTGCCGTCTCCTCCTTTGGCCATTATTTCAGCTTTAGCTTCAAGAAAGTTTTGGTTGTAAACAACAAAGTGCGCATGTGCCACCGGCAACTTCAGCAGATGATACGGTGGCTGGTAAGGGTCACCGCGCCTACACTGCAGCCGCGGTAAACCCACCAAGCTAATAGAGTTTTTAAAAAAACAAGACGGTTATTATTATTGTCAACTCTTTTTTTTTTAACGGGGTTTACTGCTACACTGGTTACCGTGACAACCCTACGGCTGATCTGTCTGCTTTGATCTATTTTGAAAACTCCGATCAAAACCGATAGGGGCGCTATCTGGCCGATTACGATCAAATGCCGATCCATTGGTGCATCCCTACTCTGGGTACCCCACCTATTTACCCTCTGATGAGTCACAATGACTCCCCTCTCAATAGAGGCTAATGACTCATCGGGGTAGGGAGGAGGGGTACCCAGAGTAGTTTCGGCTCGTTAATAACAGACAGCTACGGCTTATAAGCTTGACTCAGGGGTGGACATTAACTTCAAAACTAACCGGCCAGCCGGGCCGGTAACTCTGAATATTTACCGGCCCCTGCCAAGAATCTACCGGCCCCGCTGGCCAGCTGCCAAAACGAGTCAAAATAACAACTGAACCGTTTTAAATGTAATAAACCTTTATTTTGTACACATTCACAAACATAATAACGTATTCAAGTTTGAATTTGTTTGTTCCCTCAACAAAACTCGATTTTGTCGTCACATACTTACGGCATACAACGCAGTACATCACCAACTCCGCTTTGCTGTACTCGAGCCATTGGCTGTGTTCGAGATGAGCCAGTTCTGCGCAGATTAGACCAGCGGTGATCGGCGAGCAGTGCATGCCGGTTAGATTTGTGTCCGACTTGACGCCAACTTGCTCTGACGTCATGCATACGTAGGCAACGATAACCTCGTGAGATCAAGGCGGCCGCAGATTTTGGAGCAAGGTGCTGCAGTTGCTCTCCCTCGGCTGCAAAACCTAGGGGATGACGGGAAACGCCTGGCTCTCACCTGATCTAAGATCTGATTGTGTCATATTTTGATCCAAACATCCGGTGGTAGAACATGAAATGTTAGTTGGTCACATGTATTCTGTAAATCATGTTATGTTGATGATGACAACTATATAGGCCATAAAGAGAAATGTGTTTTGTTTTCTTTTGTCACGTTTCCTGTGAGCACACTGAAGCTACAGCTGCTAACCTTTACTTGTTATTACAGTCATGTCTTCATGTACAATATATGATATCCACAAGCACGTGAGGATGTGGTTCAGCAGCTAAAAGGCACCAGAATTACAATTGAAAATTGAACAAGTGTGAATGCTAACGCGATATCTTCATCCA